AGCGACTGCCTTCGGCTCAGGTCATGATCCTGGAGTCCCGAGATCGAGTCCCGCATCGGGCTCCCTGCTCAGCAGGGGGTCTGCTTCTCCCTCTGACTCTCTTCCCTCTCGCGCTCTCATTCTCTCTCTCAAATAAATAAAATCTTTAAAAAAAAAAAAAGTCTAATCTCTGCTCAACATGGGGCTTGAATTCATGACCCTGAGATCAAGAGTTGCATGCTCTTCGGACTGAGCCAGTCAGGTACCCTGATTTCTTTTTTTCCTTTATAAATCACGTTCCTCACAAAAGTCACATCTGAATATTAAGAGAAACCTTAAGAACTGGCAAAATTTGCTGTAACTTTTTTCCACTCTACCTTTAAAAGTGCGTATTTAATGTCATTTCTCATTTGTGCCTTACTAGCCTGTTTCTTTTTTTTTAAATTTTAAATAGATTTTATCTATTCATTTGAGACACAGAGATACAGAGAGAGAGAGAGAGAGAGCATGAGCAGGGAGAGAGGCAGAGGGAGAGGGAGAAGCAGGCTCCCAGCTGAGCCTGGAGCCCGATGTGGGGCTTGATCCCAGGACTCTGGGATCATGACCTGAGCCGAAGGCAGACGCTCAACCATCTGAGCCACCCAGGCGCCCCTTTACTAGCCTGTTTCTAGTTGCTGTGTGTGACTTCTTTTCTTGCATCTCATCAAAATCCACATTGAAAAAAAAAAAAAACAAAAACCTGTCTTTAATTTAAAAAGAAAGCCCAGTGGTTTAGGTTTATTCAGGATTCACCTCCTTAGAGTGTCGTGTGACCTGCTGTCCTCAAGGGGGCATAGCTTCCTCTGAAAACTTTTTGCCCAAGGATCAATAATGATCTCCCTCCCTCCCTTCCCCCTTCCATTCCCCCTCCCTTCCCTTCCCCCTTCCCTTCCCTTTCCCCTTCCCTTCCCCTCTCTCTTTCATTCTTTCCTTTTTTGATCCCTTTCTCTTTAATACAAGGTTCAAATGTGACTTGAATAAAGGCCAGGTGATATTAAGTAATATGAATGTAGGTAGTCTGCTCTTAGGTACTACCCCAACTGTGTGGCACACTTGGCTGACAGGCAGTTTCCTTATCTTGATACCGCTGCTTACTTTCTCCACTAATGATCAAGTCTCAGTGATGAGGCCCATTTTCTTAAACCACATGTTTAATTTTAACCCAGGAAATTCTGCAGCGTCCACCCCTAAAAACCTAGACTTGCCTGAGGTGAAAGGTCAGGTGACCCCCAAGCCTGAGGGCAGCAGCCAGCCTGCCAAGAAGGCCGGAGTGGCTGTGAAAGCAAAGCAGCAGTTGGAGAAACGGCAACATCCCAAGAAGGCCTCTTTCCAGAAGCAGAATGGCATCTCCAAAGGGACAGACTCAGGATTGTCCCCTGTATCTTGTGACACAAAGTCCCAAGCTTCTTCTAAGGTCCAAGATAGCAGTCAGCCAGCTCGAGAAGCTGAAGTGATCAGGAGACCAAAGGCGGCTAAGAAACTAAAGCAAAAGTCAGCTACGCCACTGTCCTCCAAGAAAGTCTCCTTCCGGAAGCAGAATGGTCCTCCTAAGGGCACGGACACAGAAGTGTCCCTTTCCAAGACCCAGGCCACTCTCAAGCCTGAGGACTGTGATCAGTCCCTTCGAAACGCCAAAGGGGCTGAGAAGGTAAAGCAGCAGTTGCCAGAACAGCCTTCTAAGAGAGCTGCCTTCCAGAAACAGAATGGCACCCCCAAGGGACTGGAGACTTCCACCATGTCCTCCCGTGGTTCCAGCCGGCCCCCACCAGCAAAGAGGAGAAAATCTCAGTCCAGAGGCAGCAGCCGTCCAGTGTTGTCTTAGATGAATAGTTGAAACTAGACTGGGGTGGCTCATTGCTGTGGGCACTGGGTTGGAACTCTTACCTCTGTGAGGTTGGCATCCCCACTGTGTATATGAAAACTAATACACATTTTATAATCTCTGGCCACTGTGTGTTTTTTGAGGGGACTGGGTACTGGCTTTGCTGCTTTAAGGGTAGTGGTGGGAGCGTGGGACAGGGCCCCTCTGAAGAGAGGAAACTGGTATACTGAGAAATCCGGTTCAGGCTCCTGGGCTCCCTTGGTCTCCTCAGGGTCCCAGGGAGGGAGAGTCCTGGAGTCAGAGCTTAGGGTGTTTGGACTCTGGGGAGAGGAGGGCAATAGGGGTGTAGGGAGGATGGGCATCCTGCCACCAGAACCCATGGAATACTGAGGGACCTGGATTTTATTTCTCTGCCACCCTGGCTTGCGGGCATGGACTGGGGTCAGCTCAGCCTCGGACCCGGAAAGGTCCAGGTGCCAACCTCCAACTGAACCTTTCATTGGATTCCTCTCTGCCCTGCCCCGCCCCCCTGACCTCTGCCCCTTCCGTCAAGCCGTCTGATTGGTTGCGCCGCGTCCCCCTGGCGCCTCATTGGCTCTTCTCCCTCGCCCTCCATCCTTGCTCCTGTAGCGGTCTCCGTCTCCCAGCAGAAGACGCAGCCATGAATCCGTTATTCGGCCCCAACCTCTTCCTCCTACAGCAGGAGCAGCAGGGCCTGGCCGGGCCGCTGGGGGACCCTCTCGGAGACGACCACTTCGCCGGGGGAGGGGACGTGTCCCCGGCGCCGCTCGCCCCGGCCGGCCCGGCTGCTTACTCGCCGCCCGGGCCGGGCCCGGCGCCCCCCGCCGCCATGGCTCTCCGCAACGACCTGGGCTCCAACATCAACGTGCTCAAGACCCTGAACCTCCGGTTCCGCTGCTTCCTGGCCAAGGTGCACGAGCTGGAGCGCCGCAACCGGCTGCTGGAGAAGCAGCTGCAGCAGGCGCTGGAGGAGGGTAAGCAGGGCCGGCGGGGCCTGGCTCGCCGCGACCAGGCCGTGCAGACCGGCTTCGTCAGCCCCATCCGGCCCCTGGGGCTGCCCCTGAGCGCCCGGCCCGCCGCCGTCTGCACCCCTTCGGCGCGGGTGCTGGGCTCGCCCGCGCGTTCGCCAGCCGGCCCCCTCGTGCCCTCCGCGGCCTGCCACTCGTCGCCCTCCACCTCCACCTCCACCTCCTACTCCTCGTCAGCCCGCTTCATGCCCGGCACCATCTGGTCCTTCTCTCACGCCCGCCGGCTCGGGCCGGGACTGGAGCCCACGCTGGTGCAAGGGCCTGGCCTGTCGTGGGTGCATCCCGACGGGGTGGGCGTCCAGATCGACACCATCACCCCCGAGATCCGCGCGCTCTACAACGTCCTGGCTAAAGTGAAGCGCGAGCGGGACGAGTACAAGCGGAGGTAGGGGACCGGGAAGGTGGGGACGGGGTTCAGTGTCATGCCACACGTGGGGCAGGTGTGGATCCGAGGGAGAGCAGTGCGGCCCAAGAATCAGGGAGGAATAAGATGAGAGTAAAGTTCCTGCTGTGTAAGGAGGAGCTTGGAAGTAGACGGAATTGGGTACCGGAAGACGGGGATCCACAGGGAATGCAGAAGTCGCACTCGTGACAGGAAGAAGGATACTCGGAGCGGAGTACTGTGGGGCATACATATTTTTCTTGTGGCTTTTCTTTCTGTCTCAACTAGGCTGCAGTGTTTGGATGACTGTGTTCACTGTGGGGTTGTGTGCCGTGTGAAAGGGACACGCATTTGAGAGGTCACATCTGGGGTACTACTTTGCCTCTCCAGGCTCAGCCCCCAGAGCAGTTTTGTGATAGATGCTCCACATTACTGATCAAAAGTAAGAGACCAGGGATATAGCTTTCATTTGGGAGTCTAAGTGAAATTAGAAGGTGAGGGGGCGGGGGGCTGCATCTGGCAGTGGGCGATCCTGCCCCTGCTCCGGGTTTCCCAAAGTGATGTCGATGGAAACTGGGTACCTACTCCAGTTCCATATGAAAGGCTCTGGGACCTCAGAACATTGCTTGGAGTAAGTCAATAAAAGAAAAGTAAAATAAAAAAGGGAAAAGGAATTCCCTAGGGAAAGGGGAAGGGACTGCTAGTTGTCAGAGGGCTTGTGGAAGCTGGGGGAATAATCTCTGAAAGTGCAAAGAGCCAAAGGATGACAAAATGTGAGTGAAGCCAGCAGAGGAACTGAGTGGGGAAAAGTTGAGAATCTGGACACACCCTGTGAGGATACGGCAGCTGCGGGGCAGGCCCAGTGCTCTCTGAGGATGAGGATTTGGCTTTCTGCAGGGGACTGCAGGGGAAGGGATGTGATGCTGGTGCTGGCTGTGTACCAAGGGGATCCCGTAGAGGCCTGATAACCCAGCCATTAGGAAGGAGCATGAGCACAGCCAGCTCTCTGTAGACTCTGACGGATGCCATGGTTGAGGAGGAAGATGACAGGTCAGAAGGAGGCTTTATTTTGGGAGCCATCAGGTTTAACCTCTTAGCGGGCTCCTCTGACCCCTTGTGGGCAGGCTTGGGAACTACCTTAGCAGCCCTGTGTAGCGGACACTGGTGTGTTGCCTGGGGCTTGGCTGAATGTTCCAGGAGCTTACCTCTGGGTCTGGGGGCAGCCTTCAGGGATCTGTAGCCTACCAGAATCTAGCAGATCTCAGATCAGTAGGCTTTCTGAGGTTGAGTCCTGTCCTCATGCTGGCTTCCTTCGTCGTAGCCCATGTTATAAGTGCCTTTGGGAGTCTTAGTTCTCCGAAAGCCGTCATTTAGATACCGCCCAGAGCCTGCCTGCCGCAGGCCCTGTTCCTGCCCCTGTAGGAGTTAATTAACACGGTCAGCAGCAGAACACGGACAGTTCTGGAATGCATCCATAACCACAGAAACAACTGCTGTTCTCGGGTATTTGTTTTTTCTTAACTGAAAGAGTGTTTGTCCTTGGTGCAGCTGTCCAGGGCAGCAGAGAGTTATTCCTTGGGGATTGATGAGCTCATCGCTCTGCAGCATGCTGCTGTGCAGAGGGCCCCGCAGCTAGAGTTGTATGGTACGTGACACTGGCAGTTGCTCATTCTTCCACCCCAGATCCTGTGCCCTCGTTCTGTTCTCTTTAAAACACCATGGCTCCTGTCCGTGGCCCAGAAGGCATGGGGATAGCTTGAGCACTAAACTGGGAAGGAGCTGAGGCCTCCTGGGTTCTCTTTTCAGCTCCCCTGCTATGGGCAACCTTGGGTGGATCTCTTCCTCCTGGCCTCCCTTTTTCCAGTGTAGGAATGGACCCTGCTTCCTCACTTTGCTCAAGGATACCGTTTATTGGGGAGGGAGGTCTTTAGTAAAGGTAGAATACACGGAAATTCCTCGAATCCTACTCATGTCAAGGGAACCTTGTAAGTGAGACCAGATTTGAATGGAGGTCAGAAGGGACCTATTTGTGGGAAAGTCTGGCTGGAGAACAGATAGAATTCTAGTAAGCTTCCAGGGGCACCGGGCTGGCTTAGTCAGGAGAGCATGTGACTTTTGATCTCAGGGTCGTGAGTTTGAGCCCCACATTGGGTGTAGAGATTACTAAAAATAAATAAATAAACTTTAAAGCACTCTAGTAAGCTTCCAGATGATTTATTTTCAGATTTTTTTTTTTTTTTACGCTGTAAGATTTTGTTCATCTCAATCCTCCCCTAACTTCCTTACTTAAATTTCTACCTGAATTTGTTGCTTCCTTCCCTTCCTGATGCATCTTGCCCAGGGTCATTGTCCCCTTGCCAGTCTTGCTTCCTCCAGGGACTCACAGACTCAGGGGTATGAGGGTACCACATCCCATGCCTTCAGGTTGTCGATGAAGAAACCACAGGCCCAGAAAAGATAAATATGTCTTATCTATGAAAATATATCACTTGACGCTGCTAGGGCCCCTCACCGGCCCCAGCCATCTGATGGAGAATACCAGAGCAAAAGGAGGAAGGACAGGGGGGCAGCAAGGAAGGGTGGGCAGAGAGCCAAGGGGCCCGGGAGCTGGGCTACATGACGGGCTGGCAGGGTGGCGGCCGGGCTGGCTGCCTCGCCCCTGCCCACAAGGGAGGGGCAGTGGGTGACGCAGAGGAGTTATTATTAGGAACACTGCAGTGCAGAGCCCAGTGAGGAGCAGGAGGGCATGGAGGGAAGAGGTTGTGGGCAGAGCCCAGAGGGGAGAGGAGGGCGAGGTGGGGGAGAGATGGAGGCGGGGGAGGGAGGACAGAGTCCCATGTCTGCAGAATCTGCTCGGTCAGGCTTTCGTTTTCTTGCTGTCCTCTTTGTGGCTTCTGGCCACCTTTCTGATCCCGCAGTTTCTCTCGTGGTACCGTGCCCTCCTTTCTCAGCCTGGAAGAAGTGGCAAGAGGTGATGGGCTGTCTGAATGGGGTCTGAGAAGTTCTCCCAGCCCGGGCACCCTCGCAGAGTCTTGAATCCCCCAGCAGCGTGCTGCCCCCAGCTCGAACCTTCCGCCTCCGCCGCGCCCAAGACTTGTGCACTGGTTTGCGGTGGACTCACGCCTAGTGAAAACCCTAGTCCTATGCAGCAGACCCTGCCTGTGGCCTCTTAGCTGCTTGTGGTCCTGGTCTTGGAGTTCTGGAGCCTAGGAGATGCCGCTTCTAGTTCCCAGCCACCAGATGAACGGATTTTTCCTACTCTGATTTCCCTCGCCCTTGGGGTTTGGGTGCCTGGGACCCCCAGGCTCCTGCTTCCCGCTGCTTTCATGCCTCAGGGCCAGCCCCATCACCTCTCCAGGGCTCCCGGATGGGGCTCCGGGGGGGCAGTTTCTGGAGCTTGCGGGGGGATGGACTTTGAGTGTCTCCTACCAGGCTCTTGACCAACCCTGTTGATGTGGTGTGTGTCCTGCAGCTGCTTCTCAGGGTGACACGGCTCCACAGGAGGAGCCCTGGGCTGGTGCGGGCAGGAGGCGGGAGACCGGATCTGTGCCCCTGAAGGTGGCCTGGGGGTCTGGTGCGGGCCCGAGCGGGGAGGAGGCCAGCCGGGCAGCTGGCTGAGCCAGGGCCCAAGCGGGACGGGCGCTGCGAGGGAGCAGAGTGGCAGCAGTTAGTCTTACACGGTTCCTGCGGCGTGGCCCAGGGTTGCCGGGCAGGCAGCAGGCGGGCTTGCACTTGCCAGGAAGCGTGGAGCCACCCGACAGCTGCGGCTGGCCACCCACGGGCCGGCCGGTCCTCGCCCACGGCCCCTGTGCACCCCGGGCACCAGAGCTAGAGTGGGAGAGAGGCCCGAGCCGGAGGGGTGAGGAGCGGGGAGCCGCTGGGGCAAGACCCCACACCTAGGCTCCCTCCCTGTCCCCCATGTCTGCCAGGTGGGAAGAGGAGTACACTGTGCGGATACAGCTGCAGGAGCGAGTGAACGAGCTCCAGGAGGTGAGGGCTGGACCCCCCCCGCCCCCCC